AATCCCCCCCCCCCCCGCAGGGATCTGGCATGACTGACAGGCAGTTCTATAAATGCACGTTTGTCTCATCTTTTTTGTATCGTTTATGAAAGTATTAATAAGTAAATATTTTTAGGTTACAAGACTGACTTCTCATCTTTATATAATTAAAACACAGAAGGTTCCAAATTTGAAAATAAATGGCTGCATATTGAGTACTATTATTGTCACCTTTTTCAACTTCTGAAATACTGTTCATTGCTTTTGTTGTTCTTTATAAATAAATCACAGTGTATGCATATAATATCTGTGCTCTTGAATTAATTTTTATCTTAAAACCTATTTGTCCCATGGATCTTTAATACAATGTGTCTTACTTGCTACCAGATGTAATTATCAGGGTATTTGTAAAGCCATAACCAACAAGCCTGAGCTACAAAATGTAGATTTGCTAGGTGGTCTTTAAATTGAGGACTTCAATGCTCTCTTTACCAATTTTAATTCTAAACCATTGCTTAAGATACTGCCTGTTGGCTTTAACCCCATCTGAATGCTGGTAACTCTCATTCTTTCACTAGAATGAAAGCTCTTTGAGCTTAAGGATTTTGTCTTCTTTACCCCAGTGCTTTGAATAGTGACTACATGTAATAGGCACTGAAATATTTATGGAAAAAATGAATAATACAGATAATTCTACTTTGTGTTTAACAGTCTTTGAAACCAAAGTGTTCAGTAAAATCATTTTTATATCTGTTTATAAGTATTTATTCAACTCTGTTTGCCAGGAAATGGGGATGTAGTGGCATTAATAAACACTGGTCTGTATGAAAACCAGACTACAGGCGGACAAGACTGGAAGTAGGGAGTTGGGTTTAGAGGATGTTGTGGTGGTCCAGGTGAGATCGGACCAGGTAGTGGCAGTAGGAGTGGAGAAGTGGATGCATTCAAGGCATATTTGAGGGACTGCGGGATTTGCTGATGGATTTGGTTGTAGAAGATGTGGACAATTGAAGAAACAAGTGAAACAGATGGTGAAAATGGGAGTAGATTTTGGGCGGGGAGGCGGGGATCGAGTTACATTTTGGATATATTTAAGTTTACAATGCCTTGTAGACATCTAAGTGGAGATACTAAATAAGCAGTTGGTTATCAGGGCGAGATCCAAACTGGAAATACATATTTGGGAGTTATCTTCATGTTTAAAGCCATGAAACTGGATAAAGTCATGCAAGGAGTGTGTAGAGAGAAGCCCTAACTCCAGAGAATCCTAACATCAGAGGCCCGACTGAGCATGGCCAGTGAAGTACGAGAACTAGAATTACGTATGGTGTCTGAGAAGCCAGAAAAGACAGGTGTGATAACGAAATGAGACACCAGTTATCAGCTGCTCCACAGCAAGCACGCAAAACAAAACACAAGTAGGTTGCGGGCATGCTGCAGCCAGGGCCAATCACAGCAACAGCCAGCCAATGTACCCTCCCACCTTACCCTCCTCCGGGCAGCTCCGCCCTTCCGCTTTCCCGGAATGCTCTGGGCCGACTCCTGGCGGCCATCTTGGTTGTGGGCAGTCAGCCGAAAGGTTGCGCCTGTTCCGAGGCCTGTCCTCTGGCGGTCGCGTTGCGTACTTGAGGCTAGAGGCTGGAGGGCGTCGGCGGCCGAGATGACCCAGGCCGAGAAGGGGGACACGGAGAACGGGAAAGAGAAGGGCGGGGAGAAGGAGAAGGAGCAGCGCGGCGTGAAGCGACCCATCGTGCCCGCGTTGGTGCCGGAGTCGCTGCAGGAGGTGAGGCGCCGGGGGCGGGCCTCGAACTCGGCTTCCGGGCGGGGGGAGGGGGCCGCGGAGCTGGGCGAGGGGGAGGAGGCTGGTGAACGGTGGGAGTCTTCGGGCGCCCACGCAGGTGGGTGGTGCAAGGGGGTCGTTCCCTGCTTGCTCCGAGGGCACAGTGCAGATGGCCAGGCCAGTGACACCAGCCACTGTGCGAACCCCAGCCTCCCGGGCTATGAGACCAGCACAGGGCTGTCACCTTCTTGCCAAGTAGTTTGAGGGGGCAGAGTGGATGGTGTGTAAGGGCCCTGCCAGTTCCCACTCTCTAGGATTCTCCCACTTGGCGGGAAGGGGGAGCTCACGGTTGGGGATGGGCAGTAAGTATCTAGGGCATGGAGTGGGATGGGGTAGTGCAGAGGACCATAGGGGGAGCTATTGGGCACACACAGCAGGTACCTCCTCCAGCCCTGACGGTCTGGGACAGTTTCTTCAATGGAGGTGACACCTGGGCAGAGACCTAAAGGATGATTAGGAGTTAGCCAGGGGGAATGTGAGGGCAGGAGAACAGCATGGAAGAGACGTGGGCCAAGGGAGGATATGAAATGTTGGAGGTGAGGATGTCTGGAATTGAGGAGGAAGAGGGAGCAAGACTTGAGACTGGAGATCTTAACAGGGATGGCATCAAGAGGGTCGTATAAGCCAGAGCCTGGCCTCTTCTGAAGGGAATGCAGAACTTGGGAAGAGATAGCCAGACTCCGAGCTACATGATTAACTCGTTTAATCCTCACAATAGCTTTCTGAGGTAGGAACTTTAAAGCAAGGAAGTGGCACAGCCTGAATTTCGAACCAGATTTGTGAATCTGGAGCCGGGGCCATTAGCCACTATCACATTTGCTTAACTTCAGTCATGTAACAACTTATGGTTTTTCCATATCCTCTGTGAGAACTCTACCATTATTTGCTGAATAACTTTTTTTACTCAATTTTATCTTAAGCAGTAATGTCCAGGAAATGATGTGTAGGATGTATTGGCTAGTTGATTTCTAATATGTTAAGGTAGATATGTAATTATTAAAAACTGCTTGTCCACACTTTGGAAAACTGCGTTTACTACCCCAGAGCTTCCCAATCAGTGTGCTGCAGCCTGTGTACTATTAATGAGGTACAGATGTCCCTGATGGCAAGCCACCTCATCTGTTTAACTCAGTTTGCTAGATAAATGTTGTCTGCCATAGCACGCAAAAGCTTGAGAAGTGTGCTGCAGAGCACCAGGCCATGTGAGAGTGGTGCCATGGGCATTCAACAAATACCTACTAGGCTCCTGTATGCCGTGCACTGGGCACAGAGTAGTGAACAAGACAGTAGTAGTCCTTTACATGAAGGTTTTGTCTTTTGAGAGAGCAGACAGTAAATCATTACAAGAATGATAAGTGTCATGAAAAGGAGTGGTGCCTTAAGATTTTATTGCAGGGGGACAAGTAAACCTGGTCTGATGACATTTAACTTTAGACCTGAAGGGAGGAGTAAGATTTAACAGGGAGTAAGAACACTGCAGGCAAGGGGAGTTGCGTTTGTGAAGGCCTGAATGTCAGAACAGTGAACTAAGAAATCTGGAGACATCTGGATTGGGAAGATTAAAGAGACTGAAAAGTAAGTGGTTCTAGAGTAAAGCTAGAGAAGTAGGCAGGGTCTTGATCTTGGAGGTTCTGGACTGTATCTTATTGGCAAGTTATGGAAATATTTTAAATGAGGACATGCCAAGAAGACACAACTGTAGCTTAAGGGCAGAGCAGAGTAGGTGCTGACTTAGGAGTCACACTGGAATGGTGATTCTCAACAGAGGCATCCTGTTGTCAAAGGGATTGTTGGAGTCCCTTCTTCCCCCACTCCCTCCTGAAACTCTGGGTCCCTCAATAGGTTTACGTGGTAAAGGTTCCCTAGTGATTCAGGTTATATTCTGCCCCCTTGAGAATTACAGATCTAAAAGCCCACAGTCATTACTCCACTGTCCTGATTTGTGCTGCTTTGTCAGTCCTTGTTCACTGTCTCCCAGTAATGGATGGTGAAATGCAGCAGAGCTTTCTGACCTGTGAGCATAGAATTGTGAACTCTGGTTTTTTAACCGCAGACTCTTGCCAGATCAGGTAAATAGTACAGAACCAATAAGGGTAAAGTGTTTAAAAAACAGTGACGAAAATCCAGTTCATGCACATTCTCGGAAGTGGTCCATGTATAAAGTCCACTTACTTTCCAGCCTTGCAAAACAGTGATTCTGATCTTAAATTAACTTCTTCCCTCACCTTCTCAACCAGTGTTGTCACATCTGAGTGATCATACTAATTACTTCAGGAGCTTTTGTAAATTGCAGATTCCTAGGCTCTCTCTTCCTGGAGATTCTGAATCAGAAAATTTGTAGTGAAGCTTTAGGGTCTTTTTTGTTTTGTTTTGTTTTAACAAGGATCTTTAGGTGACTCAGATTTAGGGAACCCCATACTTCACAAGTCATAGTATTCCCCACACTCTTATTCGTTGTTTAACTCTCTTCTCTAGTAAATGGGAAGTTCTCTAGTGGTCAGGACTTTGTCCTGGTCACCATTGTACCCACAGTGATTGGCACAGAAATGCCCCCAAATTATAGCTTGATTTGCATTGGATACTTAGGATTTCGTTCATTTAAACAAATATTTGTTGACCTATGTACCGTGAGTCAGATCCTTGGCACACAGATACAAAAAGAGTTTGCATTCAGGCAGAGAGCAATATTTGGATGCCTCTCAGAGAACTCCCTTTACTGAATTATTTTGATACCTTTGAGTTTGATAGTCATTACAGGAAACTAATTTCTTAGTCTAGCCTGTTACCTCTGTGTTATTTAACATGTTACCTGCATGTTATTTACTAAGGTCACGCTCCTATGTTTTGTATTTGCAGCAAATCCAGAGCAACTTCATCGTTGTCATACATCCAGGTTCAACAACTCTGAGGATCGGTCGAGCCACAGACACACTTCCTGCCAGCATTCCTCATGTTATTGCACGAAGACACAAACAACAAGGGCAGCCCCTGTACAAAGACAACTGGCTCCTAAGGGAGGGACTAAATGTAAGTCAGAAATGGAGGATGCTGGCGTTCCAGTGGTTAGGACTCCTAGTTTTCGCTGCCGAGGGCCTGGGTTCAGTCCCTGGTCAGGGAACTAAGATCCCACAAGCCGTGCAGTGTGGCCAAAAAACCCAACCCGCCCTGCCCCCCTGCCCAGCACACACACACACAAAAGAAATGTAAGGCCTAGAGAGAAAGCCCAGGGTTGTCTCCTTGGGAGGGCTTCAGTATTCAATGTATGCTATAATCTTGAACGACATCTTCATAGCTTTAATGTATTTTAAAATAACGACATCATTCAGGGTTACAAATGTCATTTTTTATCTGAGTTATCAATTTTAGATTGTACAGCAATAATTATAACAAAAGTAAATCTAATATTTTAACCCATCAGGGTGAATTGGGTATTGATGAAGATGATCTTTAGTGGAAGATACAGAATTGTCACTCCCTTAAAATGATGCATCCAGGTGTCTGTTAACTGACTGCCATATTTTCTCTTCCAGATACTTAGAGTTTAAATTGAGCTCATATTTTCAATCTGTAGCAAATTGAATTGCTACAATAAGCACTTGTTACAGTCTTAGATCAAATCATAATTTAAAGGCAAAAATTAGTGTTTCCTTGGAGTAAGCATTTACTTAGGATGCAGTAGGCATCCTATTTTGCAGGTGATAATTAACAGGAAAATTTTTGTGGTAGGTGTTAAATATGTGTATCGCACTGTAATCTGCTTTAAGTTTTAAATCAAGGGTAGTTTTAGGAACTTGCAGTTTCTATAATTCTTATAGTAAGCCTTAGGGTTCCATTTTTTAGCATAACTAGCAGACTCTCCTTAAGTCCATTTCTAAGCTTAAGTATAACTTGACAGTGTAAGAATCTAAAATTCGCATATCTTTGGATCTTACAATTCTATTTTAGGAATAAATCTCAGGAATAAAAATGGAAAGAAAACAAAATAATATTTTATAAAAATATAGAATGTTCTTTGCAATATCACAAGAACTTGAATACTCATTAATTAAGTGAAATAACACATGAAGGAATAAAACCTTGTTATAAAATTGTAAACATGAGAATTATATAGATATATGGAAGAGTCTCTCAAATACTTTGTAAATATAAAGTAGCAGTGCTCTGATATCAGTCAAAAGTCACTTGAGGTTATAGATTTTTGCTCTTTTATGATTTTTTTATTTATAAATAATAAGAAGATTACTTGGAATTCTTAAGATTAATACATGTGACAAAGGTGAAGGACATGCTACTCATTGATGAAGGAGCATTTGCTCTTGCTGGATTAAATTAGTATTTTGCCATTTCTTTCTCTTTTTCACTAAATTCTTTATACTCTTCATCTTTATTCTTTTTCCCCAGAAACCTGAAAGTAATGAACAAAGACAAAATGGCCTTAAAATGGTGGATCAAGCAATATGGTCTAAAAAGATGTCAAATGGTACAAGACGTATTCCTGTGTCCCCTGAGCAGGTTCAGTCTCAACGCTTTCTTCAGATTCATTCTTTGACCACTGCTATTAAGTCGTAACCATCCTTGTGCGCTCCCTATTTCATTATGCAAATTAAAGATGGGATTTCCTTAAAAGAGGAAGAAAAACCATTCTTAACCACCTATAGAATACCTGAATTGGTGTTGCAAATGTCTAGGCAAGCCAAATAATTTGTCAGGTGGTCTTTCTTGGGTCAAGTTGATGAAAATTTAGTTTATCTGAGAGTCTTAAGTGTGTAATTCCAGGATCTTGATGGGAAGCTGTATTCTTACTACATTTGTCATTTTAATGTGATAAACCAGTACTGCTAGGAATGGACCTGAGTCTATATGATATATAAATCTGTATTCAACTTTCAGCAGAGTACAATATTAATTTTGGACTGACTGAATCACTGCCTAAGTGTTAACATTATGGGAGAAATCAAGATTGTGGTATAGGGCAGGAGAATCCAGTTGTGACCAATCAATATTTTGTCACATATCTTGGATTTATGATTAAAATTTGCCACTGTATCTGGTCTGTGAGAAAGGAGAAAAGAGGACAACCCCTTTTTGTTTTCTTGCATGGATTCAGAGAATTTTCGGATGCTCTTTTGTTTCAGGCACGTTCCTACAACAAGCAGATGCGACCTGCGATTTTAGATCATTGCTCTGGAAATAAGTGGACAAACACATCTCATCACCCTGAGTTTCTAGTAGGAGAAGAGGTAGGAAACATCTTTACAGTGAAATGGAAGAAGAAAACCTAGATACTATTTGTAAAATTAATTTGCTTTGCCACCTAGTTCTAGTTTTTCTTAGCATTCTGTAATCCTACCCTGAGGACCAGATATTCACACTGGCTCCTGAGATGTTACATATACCACTCTCAACATTATAACAATCACCAAATGTTAATGATAACTTCTGGCCTTAGGTTTTTGAATGTGAATCTAGAAAACCCTGAGAGAAGAGTTTTAACAATGTATTCATCTCCCTGTCTTTTCTAGGCCCTGTATGTTAATCCTTTGGACTGTTACAATATTCACTGGCCTATCAGAAGAGGTCAGTTAAATATTCACCCAGGACCTGGGGGCTCCCTTACAGCTGTTCTGGCAGATATTGAAGTAATATGGTCTCATGCGATACAAAAATACTTGGAAATCCCACTGAAAGATTTAAAGGTAAACTAAAATGACCAGTTATTGGATTGTCTTTAAGATTCTTGGTCAATAAAAGTATACTATACTCAGTTGTTTGTAAGACAGTGTCCTTGAAGCCTTCTCGACCTTAAGCTGTTAAGGTTATCTTTTTTTCCTTCACTGAATTCCCCTCTGTTGCTTTCTTTTTCTTCTCATTTTGTTTGGTTCTTGGTGTTCCTCTCAACTGCTCTGCAATCAGCAAGCTTGGTCATGTTTATGCCTTCTCTCTGGACCTTTTTTGGAAACATCAGTTGTCTTATTTTTCATTTTACAAGTGTTAAATAGCTCAAAGGGAAAAAAGCCCACAAAACTTCAGCATTTTCTGTTTTTTTTCATAAAACCTAAAGGATAGCAGAGAGCTTTGAGTTTCTCTTTTGGGCCTCTAGCCATTGCTGCTACTGCTTTAGAGAGAATCCTCTTTGACGACAAGTGTGGTGAAATTTATTTTGACCTGACTTGAGTGTTAACCATTTTATATTTTTTTCTTTGTTCTTTTTAGTATTATAGATGTATCTTGTTAATTCCTGATATCTATAATAAACAGCATGTGAAAGAATTAGTGAATATGATCCTAATGAAGATGGGGTTTTCAGGTATGTCTGATATCCCAGTGAAATCTGCCTGAAATGAGATTGTTTTTTTTTTTTTCCTGACAAAGTTAATCTGATTCACTGCTTTATTGAAACACTTATTCTGGGAGGGTCAGTGATACTTGGGTGATTGCCTGGAGGTTCCTAGATTTTAATTGAATATTTGTTGTAGGATCTTTGCTGCTCCCCAGCTGTTCACCCCTCTACCTTTTGTTTTTCAGGGATCGTGGTCCATCAGGAGTCTGTGTGCGCCACCTATGGAAGTGGTTTAAGCAGCACGTGTATTGTAGATGTTGGAGACCAAAAGACAAGCGTGTGCTGTGTGGAGGATGGGGTCTCTCATCGGAACACTCGGTGAGGAGCTTGGGAGGAGGTATTCCCTGCTCCTTCTCCTCACACAGCCTGTTCAACTGAAAGCATCGAGTTAGAAAGAAGTTTTTGTAAGGAATTACATACTCAGATTTTTCTTGTGAAACTAGTAAGATTGTGGAAGTGCAAATTCTAACACGGCTATAAATAGCCGATTTTACCCTTCCCATTTGAACTCTCTAATATGAGTTCACATTAGCAGCTCCTGAAAGCCCTAGTGTGTGTTGTGTGCTTTCCCACAGAGGAAGCGTGTATGTTAACTCTGTGGCTTTCACTATGGTGTGGCAGAGAGATACCAATCACATTCACAGCAAAGCTTTATTTGGGCAAGTCATGTAGGAGAAAATAGGTTTTCAGGTCTGAATTCTCTAGCTAGCTAGCATTTTGAGTATTTGCTTTTCTCGTCATAATTGTTTTTGGTGAGTGAGGAGTAACTTTATGGTGGTCAAGTCCATTCATTATGTCATCACTGATAGAAGAGGTAATAAAATAACTAGCAGGAGCAGGTTTGCTGCTTGTCTGTCCTGAGACAAGCCCAGCACAGGTAAGCACACTCAGGTAGTGCACACACCAGTTCTCTGCAGCATTTTGTGCTTCCAGGATGGCTTCTTCAGGATGCTTTAATTCTTCCTGTCACCCACATAGGAAGTTTGACTCTTAAGTCATAGAAACAAATTTAAAAGAGGGTCCAAGCAGTCCATGAGAAAGGTTCATTTGTTACCTCCCACCCCAAGTTACAGTGCATTCTCAAACCCAGATTGAGTTGTCTGGGCTCATCCATTTGTAACACCTAATGCCGTTAGTTTTCAAAGTATAGCGAAAACACTGGACCCAGGTCTTCTACCACTAAAACAACACAGCAGTTATCTTTCCAAATCGTAGAAATATTCAGTTAGTAGATAGTATTCGCTAAGATTTTCTCCCTTAACTTTGTCTTATGGTGTCACTGCCTGCCATTTCTACATGTTGGTGAGTATAGACAGTCAAACAGCTGTCATATGCTACACATATGGACTTGGAAATGAGCTGGATTTATTGTGTATCCTGTTTGTTGGACATTTTTGCAAATAGCATTTTTTGCTTCTAGATGTTCACCACTGGTTTTTGCTAGCTTCCTTTCTCTCCCCCTTACATCCATCCATTCTGTCCTTTCATGCTTTAATTTATCTCTACAACATTTCTTGAAACTTGCTGTGTTTCACTGTGCCTAACTGAGTTTTTGGAGCACCCTTTGCACCTTCTTCACTGAAAACTTACCCATCTGCCCTTTTCTCTTAACACTAGGCTCTGTCTGGCATATGGTGGATCTGATGTGTCAAGATGTTTTTACTGGCTGATGCAGCGAGCTGGGTTCCCTTACAGAGAATGCCAGTTAACAAATAAAATGGATTGCCTTCTTCTGCAGCACCTTAAAGAAACTTTTTGTCATTTAGATCAGGTGGGAGCAACATCAAAATTGCTGATTATTTTTGTTTTCAGGAAAAATTGAAGATATTTAAAGCTAATTAAAAATTTAACAGTATTATGCGACCTGTTCAACGCAAGTTTATAAAGCCTTGAGGCTGAAGCTCTTAAGGAGTGAGAGAGTTTTTTGGTAAGGTCAGAGCTGTACAGATGTGTCTCATGCTCTGGAAAACACAGCTAGTATTTTTAAGAGAGTTTAGCAGATGTCTCTCTCCTTAGGATCTACAATCATTCTAATAAAGGTTAAAGATAAACCTTTGGATGTAATGCATAGTAGCAGGTAAATACATAGGTATAGACCATTAATAAAATGGTATCATTTGAAGCACTTTCTTGGTATTGTGAACAGTCAACATTTAGTATATGAATTGCTACCTTTTTATGCTATTTGTTTTAGACCTTTCTTTTTCCAACTTATTTTAAAGCATTTTTCAAGTAATGTAATTCTGAATAAAAATTTTTTTGACAAACATTAAGACGGGGTAATAACATTTCCCAGTTAACTGAGGCAATTTGCTTACTGGTTTGGACATTGTATTGGTGTGTGTTGTTAATGAAGCAAACAAAAATGTCCATAGTGGGAATTTCAGAAATGTTGAAAGAGAATCAAGGTACAGTTGAACTCTTGTTTTATTAAGTTCCAGTGGCAGTGGTAGGAAGTTGTAGGGCAGCCCTTTTATAGGTGAGATTTAGATGGCATTTGAAGAGTTTGCATGCCCTTTTACTGATTCACTGACAGCATCTTTTCCTGGAATCAGGACATCTCTGGGCTTCAGGACCATGAGTTTCAGATTCGACATCCAGATTCTCCTGCCCTTCTTTACCAGTTTCGATTAGGAGATGAAAAACTCCAGGTAACACATCGGTATATATTTCCATGGGTAGAAAGAAAGGCAGCCAGGTTCAATCAGACTGAGAGAATATGTACTTGCTGGAAACCTCATGAGGTGAGAATGTCAACTGGTTGTAAATTAGCTGCTAACCCAACGTTTAAACCACTGGTAGAGTACAGATTAGAATAGATCTGAGCCATTATTTTAATTAGCCAGTATGTGATGAGTTGTTATTCAGAAAGAGGCACCATTCTTACTAGGAAATTATAAAGTAGATTACTAGGCACTTATTTTACATTTACTTTGAGATTTCTGGTGTTATATCACCCACTCAATTTGATGATAAGTTAGTTTTCTGGCCTATCATGCACTGAAGAAATAATGTTACTTCTGAAAGAGAATGCTTACTCAGTCTAACTTATAGGATCTGATCTGCCAGTTTTGTTTTTGGAAGAACAAAATTTATTTAATGGGTCAGTTTTTTCAGAAGGCAGTATCCTTGGTTGGTCATTCTTTTCCTTCCATGCACAGGCTCCGATGGCTTTGTTTTATCCAGCAACTTTTGGAATTGTTGGACAGAAAATGACAACTTTGCAGCACAGGTCCCAGGGTGACCCTGAGGATCCTCATGATGAACATTACCTGCTGGCCACACAAAGCAAGCAAGAACAGGTCTGTGGTAATTCTGTGTGAGAGGAGACAGTTTTGTCCCTGTATGAGAAGTTTGCCCATAATTAATGGATCATTGCAGTGGCTGCAATCTGACAGTATACTAAAGCTGATACTGTTTTTAAGACCGTAGATGAAGTCTGTGTTTAAAATCCAGATGACAGATTTCTTTATTCAGCAAACATCAATTTTCAGAATACCAATCTACAAGATACTTCCCTTTTGGCATGTACTTTTTAAGTACTTTATGTATAATACTTTATCTACTTTTGAATATTTATCCAGTAGTCTTTTCAGTAAAAGCTTACCTATTTTTAAATTATCATGCAAAAACTGGGTGGCACAGGCAAAGAGCTGAATTCTTTTGTCCAAAGCTGATCCTAGTTATAGGATGTCTGATTCAGGGGCACAAATTAAAGCTCTTAAGTGCTAATGAAACAGCAGCTCATGATGGAGAGAAGAGGGCAGTGAACCTTTTCTAGTTTTTGTTCCTGTCCCAAAGCTGAGCTTGGGGTGCTTAGATAAAGTCTGAAAATGAGGACCCATTAGCCAGTGGCCTTAGCCAGTGGCCTAAGAGTTCCAGTGAACTACTACACTTAAAAACTCAGGGGGAAAAGGTTCATCTACATCGACATTTCAGTCTTAAAAATCCTATCAGTAATAGCAAAGTTATAGCTCTTTTATTCAGGAGGAGGCAGGGAAGGCTTTCCTGAGGAAGAGCCATTTGAGAGAGAGGGATCTGGGGGGAGAGTGAGGTGTTACCTCACACGCTGCCTGCCCATGATTGTTTTGGAATTGTCAGCACTTCCTCATCTTCTGCACACCACCCCTCACTCCTAGTTATCCAGGGGTGGGGACCAGGTGCTTGGTCGTAGAACTATGGTGTGTTTCCTCTCTGCAGCACAGTGACAGACCATCTTTTTATAGAGTGTAGAGTAGTGGGGTAGGGAGAAGGGGGGGATCTAGCTGGAGAACATCAACTGTGTTCTATCATAGCCTTACCATCCATTTGATTCTCCTTTTGATTGATTTAAAGTCTGCAAAGGCTACTGCTGACCGAAAGTCTGCATCCAAACCCATTGGATTTGAGGGGGATCTTCGTGGCCAGTCCTCTGATCTTCCAGAAAGACTGCATTCCCAGGAGGTGGATTTGGGATCCTCCCAGGGAGACTGCTTGATGGCTGGCAATGATTCTGAGGAAGCTCTCACTGCACTGATGTCCCGGAAGACTGCCATCTCGCTGTTTGAAGGGAAAGCCCTGGGCCTGGATAAAGCCATCCTCCATAGCATAGACTGTTGTTGTAAGCACGTCTGGGAGCCGGGAGAGAGCAATTACAGGGTTCAGGCTAGGGTGTAGTTTTGCCCTGCAGCATGTTCATGCAAAAGCTTTTGAGCAAAGAAAAAAAAAGAAAAAGAAAAAAGAAAAAAAAAAAGCTCTTGAGCATCTGCTTTGTGCCTACATTGTCAGGTGTTAGGATCTGGTTCCTGGCCTCGTTGAGCATGGAGCGTAGTGGAAGAGACCATAACAAGTCAACTTACCACACAAAGATGAAATTACAACTGTGGCAGGTGCTACAAAATTGAACTAAAGGGTTCTGACTGAGAGTTTCTGATTGAGGGATTTAATAAGGGGTTTTTACTCAGGAGGAGCTGTGGAGTTGGGGGAGGCAGGGGAGGCTTTCCTGAGGAAGAGCCATTTGAGAGAGAGGGATCTAGGGGGAGAGTGAGGTGTTACCTTGGTATTCCAGGTAGACGAAGAAGCCTGTGTTAAGGCCAGTGTGGCTGGAAAGCAGGATGTAGGGTGAAGCTGTGGGAAGTGGTAGTTACACACCACGCTGGACTTTGTAGGCCCCCCTAGAGATTCTGGTCCTAATCCTGCTACTAGCAGGGTCGGGGGTGGAACAGCAACATGCTCACATTTGTGTTTTGCAAGGTTCCTCTGGCTGCATGGTAGCATTGTCTAGGATGGGTTGGGAGAGAGACCTTTGAGAAGGCTCTTGCAGTTATCCAAGCAAGAGATGATGGCGGCTTGGCCTGGGGTGGTGGTGGATATGGAGGAAAAGCGTGGAAGGGATTTCACTGTCTTTTCAGCGTCTGATGAAGCCAAAAAGAAGATGTACAGCTCCATCCTGGTGGTGGGAGGTGGTTTGATGTTTCATAAAGCTCAAGAATTTCTGCAGCACAGAATTCTCAATAAGATGCCACCTTCATTCAGGCGGATTATTGAAAATGTGGATGTGATCACAAGGCCCAAGGTATGTTGTACACGGTGCAAGTTGTACTCTTTGCCAGTGAAACAGCATCATTTCTAGTTGTAATGTATCGGACAGAGAAAATCCTGGGGGGCGTGGGTTTGTGTCTGGGGAGTTCTTAAGGGCTTGGAGCATCTGTGACCTGCTGAAAAATTACTTTCAGCAGGTCACAGATGTGGTGAAAGGCGCTCTGGACTAGGGACTAGATTACTGGCTTTTAGCCCCTGCCGTGCCCTCCACACTAGCATGACTGACTCCCGCCTTTGTCAAAGGACTGGATGGGGCAAGGAGAAGACTGACTGTTCTCACGCTGTCAGCTAGAACTATGCCATTTTTATCTCTTTCATATTAAGAATCTCCTGCTGGTCCCTAGACCAGGTGATCTTCAAGGATCATTTTGGTTTGAACTATCTTGGCAACCATAAACACAGGAATTTAGAAACAGATTGTGTCTGTATTTTATTATTCTCACTGACAATTCCTGGGAATATTTTTATTTAATTCTGAGGGAGGGATTGTGGGATATATTTATTCCAGTCAAACTTCAAAATAAGTTATGTCCTTACATATGTTCCTGCCTATAGGGTCTCTTTGTGGAATAATAGTAAATAGTGAATAGTAGCATTTCAGTAATAAAAACTAAAAAATTTCCTTGTGAGTTGAAATAGAAGATGTCTGGTTCATGGATCTTTCATGGGTCTTTAGTGCAAGTTGAAAATCTGATTTATTCCATATTGACTCAGCAGGGTGTTTTCTATCCCCAAATTCAAGTAAATGTCTGCTTACACTGAAATATCTTTGTTTATCACTTCTCTAGGACATGGATCCCCGGCTGATTGCGTGGAAAGGAGGGGCGGTGTTGGCTTGTTTAGATACGACACAGGAACTGTGGATTTATCAGAGAGAATGGCAGCGCTTTGGCGTGCGCATGCTACGAGAGCGAGCTGCTTTTGTGTGGTGAAATGGACAGAAAGGTCACTGTTGAAGACCAACACATAACCCTGTGGTATAAAAGACTCTTATAGAACACTTATATTCTAATTTATTGACCTAGGTGCTTAAGTTTTATGAAAATAAATGAATTTTAACTTTTATGTTGAGAACATGACATTGGTGTAAAAAATAAGCTGCTTTTGTAGTCAGGACATTTGAGAATAAATATGAACTTAGTCTTCAGTGGTAAACTCTCCTGCCCCTTCTTCAGGGTCTCTAACTCCCGATGATCTAAATTGTTGCAGTAGAATGGTTCTCAGGTGGTGAAGCCCTTCATTTACGTTGGCTTCTGAGAGTCATCAGGCAGTCTCACATAACCATGAGGGGTGGGTGTGTGACTGTGTACCTGAATTGTGAGAAATGTCTGGTCACGCATTTTCCCTCTTATCTAGTACAGCAAGCACATATGTCATGACTTGTGTATGCTGCTACAATTCCAAATAGGAAAGAAAGTTTTTTGTTTTTTTAAAATTTTCTCCTGTATTACAAAAAATATTGGGGCACATTCAGGTCTAGATTTCCAGAGGCAAAGATTTAAGGCTGGGCTGGCTGGCTTTTGTTACTGACATAATCTAGGGTGGGCTTGGGGAAGGAAAACAGTCATTGACCAAAACAGAACAGAAATGAAAACTCATTTGCTTCCTAAAGCCAGATAGAAATGATTTAGTTTAATGATTTTCAAATGTGTCGTACAGATAAACAAGGAGACTGCTGTAATTTCTAACTTAAGCATCAGGTCCCCAATTTTCCTTTACCTGAAAAATGAAGTGAAAGTTCTTGGAGTACTTTTTGTTTAGTATGATCAGTTGACCTTAATCTGTGAGCAGTCTGAACCAAAGTTTAAATACAGACAGCTATTACCACCAGTGGTCCAGGCCTTGGTGCAGCCTTCTGAGCCCTGGCAGAGGAAGGGAAGGAGGTTTGGAGACTGGAGCCAGCCAGCACAGCCTATAGGCTCAGAGACCTGGGAGGATGGGGAGGATGCCTGATTCCTGCCACTCCCTGCCAGGGACCATCTCCTTTCTCTAGAACTGAGGGTGGGGCTGGGGGAAAGACAAAAGTAGATGCAGAAAAGAGATGCAGGTAAGTGGAATATAGAAACAGTAAGGACGGTTCGGGGGGGACTTCCCTGGAAGTCCAGTGGTTAAGACTCGGCAGTTTCACTGCTGTGGCCCGGGGTTCAATCCCTGGTCGGGGAACTAAGACCCCACAAGCTGCGCAGCATGGCCCAAAAAAAAAAAAAAAGGATGGTTAGAAGTTTTAGGACTTGGAGAAATGCTGTTACTAGAACATTTTAAATAAATAGGATTATTTTGCATATCTGCTCAGTAGGTTGGAAACAAAGAAGAGTCTGCCAGTATTACAAAATTTTAATTTGCTAGTATTATTTGGGATGTTTGCCTTAAATTTGAAAATTGTATGCTTTTATTTTTTCAGTTTTTTAACAAAATAATTAAATTTATACAATATTGATTTTATGTTTCTGGGCTGTTTCAACACAATTTAATACTGGCTACCTAGTTCTAAAAGCATAATGTATTTCTGTTTATAATAGTTTTTCACATAATAGCATATTGCTCTTATAACTGGTAGATGTTGATTCAGAGGAGGTTGGTTTCTGGTCCAAGTTTTGACATAAGCTGTCTTCTATTACTAGCACTTACAAGCACTGTGAAAACTGATCATGACAAGTAAGTGAGCTTTACCACATTAATTGTATTGCCTCAGGCATTGCTAAGTATTTGCGTGTGAACCTGGACACTCTATCCTTCCTTATTTTGGTCTTTATCTGTAAGACATGTATTAGAATGAGTGGCATGGTCCTTTAAGGATAATCTACAAGAACATTTTAACAGTCATCCACCTGAAACTGATCCACATTCTAGAGCAGATGCAGTCTTGCACTGTGTGAAAGAGACAAGCTTTCCTAGAAAAATATGGATGCTAATATAAACAACCTTTTGGTGACCTCTGCATTAAGAAAAAGATGCTTTGAGAAAAGTAAAAAGTTGGAAGACTTAAAACGCCACACATCTCTACATTCTGTAATTCTATGGTAGATTCTGTTTTTTATTTAAGTAAACCAGTGCAATAATTCATTTATAAAAAGACTACTTACTTCAAGAGGGCTAACTTCAACATAGGAATTATTTTTGTTTTGAACATGGAAAGTTATGTAATAACCATAAAACTCTGAATTCTGACAGTGACTTCTAATAGGTAACTTTGGGCAAAAGTAGACATCAGCTCTGCAAGTGATGTATTTTGTTGTTGATGTTAAAAGTCACCCGTACAAGAGTCAGATAGGACATAAATCTAGTTCTGAGAGGGTGGGTCCTATGCAAATACCAAGTTTACAAGTGGTTCCACATGGAGTAGGTCATCTGGTCAGCAAAGACAGGTTCAGCTTGTTATTCCCTATTTTTGTTATCTTAGAAATAAGGACTTGTGTGTGTAATAGAAGGTTTTTCACCTAAGAAGTTATTGAGTGAAGTAGTGAGGACTCTTAGGTTTGGCGTTCATTAATTAAACTTAGAAAGTTATAAACAATTCTGCCTACTCTGCAGAGCATGGACTATTCAAGACTGGATATTTGGCTGGGAGATGCTTTATCATTGATTATCTAAATGGTTATAGTTTTGTAAGTGTTTTTTTTTTTGTTTTGCGGTACGCGGGCCTCTCACTGTTGTGGCCTCCCATTGCGGAGCACAGGCTCCGGATGCGCAGTCTCAGCGGCCATGGCTCACAGGCCCAGCTGCTCTGCAGCATGTGGGATCTTCCTGGACCGGGGCACGAACCCGTGTCCCCTGCATCGGCAGGCGGACTCTCAACCACTGCGCCACCAGGGAAGCCTTGTAAGTGTTCTTGATTTTCAGGTGTGAAACTGACTTAGCTTTATAGTTATGAATTCAGTTTCTGTTCTTTAATGCCACAGTAGTTAGTAAATTTGTAACAATTTTATTAGCATAAAAACTTTTAATTACTAGACTAAGGTGTATGTATTCAGTGTGAATCCTCCCTTACTTCCTTTTGCTAAAGCAGGTATACATATGGTTGACCCTTGAACAACACAAGTTTGAACTGGGCAGATTCACTTATATGTAGATTTTTTCAGTAAATACATACTACAGGTCTGCAGTTGGTTGAATCCACAGATGCAGAACCACAGAGACAGATGGTGGACTGTAAAGTTATACATGAATTTTCGACTGCACAGGGGTCAGCACCCCTACCCCCTGGGTTGTTCAAGGTTCACCTGTAATCCTCCCTACAAGTAGCCCGTACGGTAAACTTCAGAATCATCACGGATGCTTTCCTCCTGTAATTGGAGCAGTAGGAAGGCTTTAAGGTCTCCTGCTTCGTGGCTGGGGAGGAGCAGCTGTAGTGGCAGGCATGCACCCTTCTCCCCGTCGACACACGTTGTTTGGCATGGAGAAGCTCTGTGCAGAAAGCCGTAGCATCCTTCATGAGGCGGTATGTGGGGCAGGCACTGAGCCCAGTGTCGTTGTCTTTGGTATCCTCTCTGAAATAGACCAACACGTATTTGTGCAGATGAGTCTGGCTTCTCAGATCACTGCAGAAGATGTTAAAGGCAATGGGGAACAGGTCTTGGGAGTTCTCACAGGGGCTTCCCCCCGTTGTGCCACAGGTACCATCACACATGGTGTTACCATTGGAAAGAAGGAAAATGACCTTATCCGTGGCTTTCTTCTGAGTGGTAAGCCACTGCACGGGACCCATCTCGGCTATTTTCTTTTCCTGCCATTTTTCAAGGATGACTTCACTTCTGCAGTGGTTTTGAATAAATTCACTGAAGTAGCAGACTGTGTGGTGGGTAAACCACAAGGACCTTAGTGGGGGGCAGCAGTGTGGTAGTAGCGAAGGAAGTCTTCTTCATCCTTCCTGTGGGGGAGAAAAGCATTTGTCATCTGTGGACAGCAAATAACAGGCTTTTACTCCAGTCTAAACTATCGCTCATAAATGATCCCTTGCTAGGGCACATCAGCTGAGCACCAGGGATGTTACTACTGCCAGAGAGGAAAATATCCCTGATGTTCCTTTTGTACACATCACCTGAAACACACCAGTGCTTAAACCTTAAAGGTGCTTAAAAGATGTATTTTCTAAGTCCCTGTCACTGAATTAGTCTTCTTGATTAAGCCCGTAGCTTTTCAAATAAATTCATAGAAACTGTTCAGGTTTAAGGTACTCTGTTTCAGGTGGGTGGTTGTAAATCTAGTATGTTTAGTGCCATATGTGAACAAGGACAGCTGACCTCTCTGCCCTGCACATCACGTTTCAAGTTGGGTCAACTCAGTAGTTGTTCCATCTTCTACGTACAGGTGGTAGAGTTTCTTTACAGTTCCGTAAGGTTAAGTGGTACCCCCATTTCAGCTGGAACTCAACTGGAATTCTGTCCTATACATGTTAAAGAATGGAAACTAGGTATGAAACTACTGTAACGAATACAAGTCAAACAATAGCCATTAATATAAGTATTCTTAAGGTCAAAGTTTGACGTGGCTTGCTTACCTAAGAAAGAAAATGGGATTAATCTTGTTCTGTATACAACATCACAAACAACTCAAAGACTCCGTTTATATTTCCCTGTCTATGTGTGGAGGGGAGGAGAAGCAGAGGTTTTCAGTGGGCCTCCCTCTAGCTGCGTATCTATATAATATTCTGACCTTATTCAAGGCTTCAGTGTTTTAGAGTTGGCAAGATCTTTAGAGTATATGAATCCAAATGAGTGTTGTTCTTATGCTTTGGAAGAATTACTTTTCAAAAGTAGGAACTAGCATAGAGTACCTGTCACAGGTAGAATGTAATTTTTTGTCAGCTATCTTTGGCCCATTACACTCGTTGTAGATGCCTCGATGGTAAAAAGAAAACAGGTGATAGCAGATCTGGAGTCCCAATCCCTGTTTTACCTTAGCAGGTGTGGTCCAGTCATTAGTCTTTAGGAGAGCTCTGAGGCATTAAATAAATGTCTGACTCTTGTATAATGCCAAAATGTGATTGCATTTGGAGGAATCTCCTTTAAAAAAAAAAATCAGTGTTATTTCCTCATCTGCGTTTCTTTAAAGAACTGAATTATAACCCTTACCGTGCCTCCAGGTCAGATAGATCCCAACCGCCAGCACGCACGTGGCCAGCAGCAGAGCTGAGAGGAGGAGAGGCAGCTATCCACCCAGCACACTTCTGCCTGGAGAAAACAAAGCTTATTCACCTTTAGCAGAACAGAACCAAATTGATCTCTTATTTGGAAACTAAAACGTTTACTTAGTGCTTTGTGGAAGTTTTGGCCCCTTTAAAGCCAAGGGTCAGTAGATCTCCAGGGGGTCTGCCGATCAGTGTGTTTTTCCATAGAGTGTCCAGGTGTTTCATTAGATTCGCAAAAGGGAGAGGGGGCCCAGGAGGTTAGGAACAGTCCTCTAAAATCATTTTGGCCTCTTACTCCACATTTTCACTGTGGTAACCAGAGTTTACATTTGTTTTTTTTAATTTTTGCTGAATTAATGTTATTCTGGGTGCAATTACTTAATACATAATATGGATAGATGGCTTTTTTTTTTTTTTTTTTTTTTTTTTTTTTTGCGGTACACGGGCTTCTTTCTCACTCCTGTGGCCTCTCCCACCACGGAGCACAGGCTCCGGACGCGCAGGCCCAGTGGCCATGGCTCACGGGCCCAGCTGCTCCGCGGCACGTGGGATCCTCCCAGACCGGGGCACGAACCCGCGTCCCCTGCATCGGCAGGCGGACTCTCAACTACTGCGCCACCAGGGAAGCCCTAGATGGCATTTTTGAAGGCTGTTTTGTCAGACTGACAGGTGTGGGGGGGTCATGCCACCTGGTTACGGGAATGTTGAGGATCAGTTAAGCTCCAGCGTGTGAAAGTGCTCAGGAATCCATAGGCACTGCACCTACACAGCAGTCAGGATTGTTAGGAGGTGGGTTTCTAAGACCAGCACCTTTTAACTTTTTTAAAAATTAATTAATTAATTTATTTTTGGCTGCATTGAGTCTTCGTTGCTGCACGTGGGCTTTCTCTAGTTGCAGCGAGTGGGGCTACTCTTCGTTGTGGTGCGTGGGCTTCTTATTGAGGTGGCTTCTCTTGTTGCGGAGCACAGGCTCTAGGCATGTGGGCTCAGTAGTTGTGGCTTGAAGGCTGTAGAGCGCAGGCTCAGTAGCTGTGGCACATGGGCTTAGTTGCTCCACAGCATGTGGGATCTTCCCGGACCAGGGCTCAAACCCGTGTCTCATGCACTGGCAGGCGGATTCTTAACCACTGAGTCACTAGGGAAGTCCCCTTTTAACTTTTTTTTTAAATTAATTAATTAATTCTTTTTTTAACATCTTTATTGGGGTATAATTGCTTTACAATTGTGTGTTAGTTTCTGCTTTATAACAGAGTGAATCAGTTATACATATACATATGTTCCCATATCTCTTCCCTCTTTGCCCTTTTAACTTTTGACCCCACCCCTGGGCTAGTTCTGGAAGCATTTTATTTGTCAACCTGCAGTAAAGGTACTAACATCACTAAATCCAGAGAGACAGTCTCCAGAACCAGCTGCTCTCAGGCACCAATGACGTGTGTCTCTTGGTGCCACTATTCCTAATTTGTTATCCAAATGTCTGTGTGGCCACAATGAATTACAGTAACAGCCGGGCCTGGGCCACTGAGATGGATAAGAAAGTCAAAAAGCAGTGAAATGCATGTTCCCTCATATACTCAGTCCCTTTACAGCCCTGACGTTTTTCAGCAGATCCTTGCGGCACTCTGAATATCAATTTTGCACCGTTGATTTTGTTTCCCTTCTTGTCTATATCCTGCTTGGTCACGGATCTTGATCTCATAAATGAAGCACAGGTACGGAAATACGGAGGCGGCTAAGGAGAAATGGGGGCTCAGCCTTATTTCTACTTTCACCAGAACTTCTCTTCCCTTTTTTTCTGGCTTCAACCGCTCTCCAGCATTGTAGTAGGACATTTTTTTTCCTTGGTTATACTTCTGTCACAAAGCCCTAAAATCCAGACTAGTGACTCAAGACCAAACACCTTCTAAGACTCCTGAGCTGTGAACCTAAATTTTGCACATGTTGCTAAGATGTTAATTTCCTTATCTAAAAGGGTTAGGTCACATCCTAATACATATACAAATATGTCCTCCAAAAAATAGAGCAGTGGGACTCCTCTCTTGACCTAAGCCAGCGCTTTAAGACATGTAAGTCCCTTGGGACTAGTAGAGTCTGGTTTCCTGAAATAGGGGTGCAGTCCTAACATGGTGATGGGTATCTGCTCTGCCGGGCGTGTCTGAGCTCTGTCTGTATGTCCCGGGAATGAAGAACAAAAAGGCCCTTATGTCTTGGGTGTAGCTGTGTCCTACCGGGACCCTCCATGGCCTCAGAGCATACACTCAGAGTGGAAAGAGCTGTGAGAGCACCTGCTAGCCCAACTTCCTGTTCTCCAGCGCAGTAAACTCAGTCCCTGAGGGGACAGAGTTGCCCTTCAAAGTTCATATGCTGATTGGGAACCCAAGCCTGCTGATTTCAAGTCCTTTGTTACTTCATTTTGCAGTGAAAATGGAGGCTTGGGATAATAAAATGGCTCAGAGTTCCTCTGTGTTTCTGTGACAGAAAATAGGAATAAAAGCACCTTGGAAAGTCAACAGCCACTCACAAAAGCAGAAGGGACCGTGACAATAAGGTCAGCTTCCTGACCTCACAGCTGTGAAGATGGAAGCCAGGATTCCCCATCAACGTCACATAATGGCGAGACTGCTGGCAGAAGCGAGCTGGGGAGAGAACTCATCTGCTCCAACTAGAAAGACTCCTCAGAGGCAACGAGTTGCAGTGCAGTGGGTCTTCAGTGCTCTTCCCCTCTCCTCCCTTCCCCAGAGCATCTCGTTCAGCTTTACCTGGACCACAGCACCTTCACTTTCCCCAGTCCCTTGAACCACCACGGAAGTTCGAGTTAGTTCCTTCTGGTGCAGGTGAGTGAGACAAAAATCAAGAATTAGGAGGCAGGGACTTCCCTGGTGGCACAGTGGTTAAGAATCCACCTGCCAATGCAGGGGACATAGGTTTGAGCCCTGGTACGGGAAGATCCCACATGCTGTGGAGCAACTAAGCCCATGTGCCACAACTACCGAGCCTGTGCTCTAGAGCCCGCGAGCCACAACTACTGAAGCCCTCGTGCCTAGAGCCCGTGCTCTGCAACAAGAGAAGCCACTGCAATGAGAAGCCCGCACACCACAACGAAGAGTAGCCGCGCTCGCCACAACTAGAGAAAGCCCGCAGGCAGCAACGAAGACCCCAATGCAGCCAAAAATAAATACATTAAAAAAAAAAAAAAAGGTATTAGGAGCCATACGAATGATTAGATCAAAGACTGCCAGTGAAGACACGGCTCTTCCCAAACTGACTTTGAACTCATTAGACTATGCGTGAGTCAGGATTCACTCCATACTTCTGAGACCTCTACCTTTGGTTGGTTTTAGAGTCACAGGGATGTTTCCAGGGATGCTCCCAGGGACTTGTTTTTCTTTGTCTGAATTAATCAAAATAGCCCAGCATATTTGTACAGCAGACAGTTCTGCCCGTGCTCTCTCAAAAGAGAGGCTGTCCAGGAAATCTGCATTCTTCAACAAGAGAAGGAGAGCTGGAGGTTGAGGACGGGGGTGGTGTTGAGGAAATGAAGGGGAAAAAAGTACCTCCAACACATAAGAAGTCCCAGTTACAGTGGTATTTTGTATGAGAGCCACATATCTGTTTCCAAGGGGACTGGTTGTAAAGTTCACTTCTACCGTGGTCTCATTCGTCTTACAAGCAGTGATGTTTGGATCCCACAGACTTCCTGTAAATTGAGAGAGAATCACAGGGCTGGAGTTGCAAACTCAGCCCTCATTTAAGTCCCCATAAGGGCTTGACAAAAACAGATGTACATTCTGAGGCACATGTCCAAGAGATACTTATTCAACTACACAGTGTGCCTTTTATCATCTCAAAGTAACCTGCTGCTCAAGAAAGTTTAGTGACCCCACGTCACTGCTTTGCTGAAAACAGCTTCCCTGGGCTGAGGGTGGTGAGAGGCACAGGCTGGGTTCTACTACTACATTCTATTCTCAACATCCATTTTGAGTGAAGGGCTGGGGTCAGGGTTTCCTCCTTTCCAGGATGCGGGGCAGGAGCCACAGGTTAGGAGGCATGTCTAAGTTTATAGAGCGAGGGAATTCAGCTAGAACTAGAACACTGGGTTCCAGGAACTCCATCCATCAGACTACTCTCCCCCAGCTTTACTGGATGTCAGGAAATAAGGAAGTATCTCATGGCTTAGAAGATACCCGGACAGGTCTACTCTGTGACAAAAAGCTGGTGGTTTCATTCATGTGGCTTGCAAATCAGCACTCAGTTAATTTCCAGGAACATGATATAGAATACCGTGTATTATTTTCCCCACCCAGGAGGCCATTTCAAGTCCCATCTCAGAACTATCTTTAGGAATTGGGTTCTAGGACTGATTCGAGGCCCTCAGACCCCCTCACATCCCAGTGACCTCCAACACTCCAGATCTCTCCTGGTGGGGGGCGAGAGAGGAGGCACAATGCTCCCAAGTCTGCCTTCCAGCGAGGAGACACGTGCACTCAGTCTGCTGGGGTTCATAGGGATGCCTGTGGGGTGGGGGTGCCTAAGAGGCAGGGACTGATCCCCCCCAAAACCACTAGCCTCATTAGCACCCTAAGACTATTACCCAGAAACGCACAGAAATCCTTGTAAACCCCTTGGAAGTTGGCCAGTTGGGACTGATTATCCTGAATGGGCTTATTTTAAAATGCAAAAGGTGGGGGCAGGTTCTAACAGTCTGGCCTGTAGGATGTGGACCCCCGTGAGGTCTCAGGTTGACAGCCTGCTTCTAGGTCACTACTTTAGCTAACGCTCCCACCTTGAATGTTTGCATGTCCAAGCAGAAAGTATGCAGGGTCCCCTTGACCACAGTTCAGTGGTACTGGTGTCTGAGCAGGTGGAGGACTTACAGATTCCCATCCAGGCAGGAAGGGCCTTTGGTTTGGGCTAAAATGTTACTTTAACCAAGGGAGCAGGGTGGTTTTTTTCTGTGACTTGCTCACCATATAAACCTACTAAGAGTCTGTCCATCCTTGGGTTCAGTGGGCACGGCGCTGGCCGGGATCAGCCTTCACAGTCTGAGCAATTTGGATACATAACAGCCCCACTCTAGGCCTCAGGTTCCTTCATCTTAAAAAGCTTGAGCTGCGCTGACTCACGGTATGAATTTCTTCTAATAACAAAAGCAAATGCTGTATTTACTTACCTGCCTCGATGCACTTTTTTTTGCATTTCATTATGTGGTCCAGGCAGCCTGGAAATTTGAATGAAAGTTTTTACATTTTAGAAGAAGGTATCTCTTGCCAACAAGGTATCCCTTGCCAACAAGTGTGCATACACATATGCTTACCACACCTGTAATGAATTGCCAGACATTTCAGATATGAGGTCAGATAGCAGATTTAAATGAGATGCTAACATTATACTGTTAAACAGAAGGTTATCTATTCATGAAGTGATAACCAGAGTCTAATTTAAATACAGCCTTTATCAAAACTATCTGTGATCCCCAAGAGAAGACTTAGAAACCAGCCATTATTCAAAAATGAGGTTTGGTAATATGTGTAGATACTGCCCCTTCCAGGAGGTGAAGCTTAATCCCACCCTATACCTCCCACCCCAGGATGGGGTAGACTTAGTGATTTGTTTCCAAAAACTAAAATTTGGGAAAGGGAAAAATACTAGATTACACAGAGAAGCCTGGCAGACCACTTAACCAGTGACAAAGGTGAGCACCACCTGTGACGTCCTGTGCGTGTCACCCACCCCTGATAGAGTGTCATGAGAAGAGTGCTTCACCTCTGTGGAATTCTCACCAAACACACCTATATCCCTAGTCTAATCATGAGACAAACACCAGACAAACCCAGATTGGGTTTGCAGGATGTATGGCCATCACTCCTCAAGACTGTCATGGTCGTGAAACACAGGGAAAGACTAAGAAACTGTCACAGATCAGATGAGACGGAGACACGGGGGACTAAATGCCACTGGGACAGAAAGAGGACATTAATGGAAAATCAGGTGAAATCCAATAAAGTCTGGAGTTTAGTTCATAGAAATGTACCAGTGTTGGACTCGCAGTTTTGACAAATAGAGCACGGTAATGTAGGATGTTAACGATAAGGGAACCTGGGTGAGAAGTATATGGGAACTCTTTGTACTAGATTTGCAACTTTTCTATAAATCTAAAATTATTCCAAAATATAATTTAAAAAGTGAGATTTAGTCTCATCAAGAAAGCTGGGCACTACTGTGTAGTAAATGATGTGATGCCAGGAATACACTTGACCACGACCAAGGAACAGTGACAGATTGGAAATTGCCCCATTTGGCTTCGATGCTACACCTGGGACAGGGACAGGCATGGGATACAGAACAGGTGACCCAGCTGAGTGGGGGTGATGTGGGAGCTGCTGGGGCCGGGCACCATGCTGGACGCTCCTCACCCATGATCCCGTCTCATCCTCACCCCAGCCCCGTGTGTGATACTGAAGGTGTGACGCCAGAGAGCTGATGGTGTGTCACAGAGCAAGGGAAAGAACCCAGCACTCAGTGCCACCTGCCTCTTCACCGCAGCTCAGGGGAGAAACCTACTGGAGTCTGTACATCCTCAGAGACCAGCCGCACGCTGTCAGACTACACAGCCTGCCAGGCAACTGAGGCTGGAACAAGCGTTTTGCATCAACAACAAAGAATGGCTAAAGTGCATCAGTCCAGAAGAACCAGAGTTTGACTGTCAGCTTCATTTCTGCATGTGTAACCAGGGCAAGTTACTTAAGTTCTCAGTTTCTTCATCTGTAAAACGGGGCTGCCCCAACCTTGGGGTTGTTGACAGCTTAAGTGAGATGATGCGTGTCAAGTGCTCAATCAGTGCCTGACACACAGGAATGGGCTTTCCCCTCCATTTCACCTGACTTAATCCTCTCCTTGTGAGTGAGGTGCGGTTACTGTCATGTCCATATTACACACGAGGAAGCCGAGACTCAGCAAGGTCAAACGGCTTGTCCAGGGTACCTGGCTTCTCTGTACCAAACCACATACCAAAACAGGTGTCCCAGCAAGATAGTAAGAGAAGAGTGAGGAAATGTACCTGGTGAGGTGAAGTTCACAGCCAGGGAGGGGCCGTCCTCATTCATATTTGCCTTGGGGATGTTACGGGCTCCAATGAAATAGACTGTGTTCAGCTCTACAGGAAAGCCAATGTAGGAAAACGTCCACTGCAGGCAAAGCGGGAAGCCCTGAATTCCCAAGTTCTTCTCATTTATAATTTCATTCCTTAACCTACTGCTGAAACTCACGTCTCTAGTCAACGTCTAGTCAACGTCTGCTAAGGAAATGGACCCCACACGGTTTGCCAGTATAACTCACAGAATCAGAGAAGTGTAAAATTCTAGAGCCAGGATGTAATTTAAGTTCAGCTTCCCTCACTTTGCTGATGGGGAAACTGAGGCCCAGGGATGCTGACTTGCCCAAAGGCACACAGCACAGAAATGGCCCCAAATGGGATTTGAACCCAGGCATTCTGCTTCAGGCTCCAGGTTGTAGCTCTCAGCAGCCTGTTTGTGAGCACAACATCCACACCCCCAACAAAGGACCTGGATTAGTGACAATTAGCCAAGTGTCTCCAAGTGCTTACTTTGACCTAGAAGATTCCCTCAGTCCTTCAAGGTGCAGGGGATGAAAAGAAACCGAGTGCCATGTTGAATACCATCAAACCACAAGCTTTCATTTGCCAATTAGGCAAAACACCATCTTTTTCCTTACATGCATATACAAGGGATGAATGCTGAGCTGCTTCCACTTCACAGTTTGAGGGAGACTACATGGCCCCATGGTAGGCTATGATGGGCCATAGATTAACCACTAGTACACTTGACCCTCAAGCCTGGCCATCACCTCCCTTAAAGACCAGAGGTGGGTATTTTACCCCTCTCTGCACCTCAGCCGTCTCTGCTACAAGCAGGGGTTAACTCTGGACCACCATGAAGTTCCCTTCACACTCTAATGTTTAGCTGCAGGCTTTCAGGACAGTCTAGAATATTTATTGAGTTTTCCCAGGTTAAGGACTGGCTGTGCCAAGAAGATAAGCAGAAGAGTGCAGTCCATTGTGTCTTTCCCAGGTGCTTTAAAAAAATTCTTCTAATATAAAAGGACTCACCTGAGATATTTACAAAATTATAACGTAACTATGATTTCGTCATGTTATCTTTTAAAAAGAACTTTTAGGGCTTCCTTGGTGGTGCAGTGGTTAAGAATCTGCCTGCCAATGCAGGGGACAGGGGTTCGAGCCCTGGTCCAGGAAGATCCCACATGCTGCGGAGCAACTAAGCCTGCGTGCCACAACTACTGAGCCTGCGCTCTAGAGCCCGCGAGCCACAACTACTGCGCCCGTGTGCCACAACTACTGAAGCCCATGCTCTGCAATGAAGAGTAGCCCCCGGTCTCTGCAACCAGAGAAAAGCCCGCACTAGCAACGAAGACCCAATGCAGCCAAAAATAAAATCAATAAAATATATGAACTTTATTAAAAAAATAATAAAAACTTAAAGAAATAATAATATTATCAGTGTCTAAGAAAGGCCAGTATTAAATCCTTTGGACTTAACTGCTCACGTCTTTTTATAAGAAAAAATAATTAGTACTTTGGTTTTGTAATAAAATACTGGACCTAAAAGGCAGCTGCGCGTTCCAGTGACACGACACAGCGTGGTTAAGTCCACCAGCTCTGGAATCGGATCCTTCACGGCCTCAACGTTTCTAAACACCTTGTATGACAGAAGGCAAGACTTTTGATAGTTTGAGTAATCTGAGTTGGGTGAAATTCTCAGTTGCTCATCTTTGTCTTTTTAAAGCTGAACTCCAAGGGATATCATCAGGCAGCTTTTTAAACAAATGAGCTACCATACTGGGAGCTACGTTCTTGTCAAAGGGCTGGTGAGACAAATTTTAGGAAGAAGCAAAGCAACGGCTCTAAACTTTACAGAGTTCAAGCTGTTGGCCTAACAGCAGCTACTGCAAAGGCAATGAATTCTTCCTCTAGTGGAAAAGGCCAGGGAGTGAGGGGATGGGCTCCAAACTGAGACAGAGGACAAAGAGAGTAGCTGAAGACATAGGGCAGGGAATGGGGTTTGTCTTTTCATCACCACGTAAACACCATGCTTTTATGCTATGTGCTATGCTAAAAAGGCAGCAATATAGCTTCAAATGCTATTTCGCAAATAAGCTTTTCTTTAGTGACCCAGAAGATTCCCTCAGTCCTTCAAGGCACAGGGGACGAAAAGAAACCTGCAGTAGAGTTCAGGAGCTTAGCTCTGAGGACAAGGGCCCCAGTACAGCGAAATTAACAGGGCAAAAAAGTAGTGGAATGGAGAAGCAGCTTTTGTGCCCCCAAAGAGGACAGACCTCAAGACCCCAGGCAATAACAATAGTGAACACCTACTATGTGCCTGGCTCTTTGCTGCTGCCTTGCAGGCCCTATCGCTGTCCTTCACTAGATCCTGGTAAGTTAGGTATGACCCTTACACAGATGAGGACAAGAGCCTCCGTGAGCATAAATGGCTAAATCAAGAGCACATGGTGGCATGCGAACCCAGGTTTGTCTGATTCCCTTGCTCCTGACTCAAGTAGCCCGACGCCCGGTGCCCCAGAGCATGCACACGCGTCCCCTTCAGACGGCCCTCCGCGAACGCCTTGAAGCATGAGCTGACGGGTGGGACGAATTTGGGTCCGGGCTCGAGGGACGGGAAAGCGGGAGGGGGGCGCGGACGTGGGCTTACTGGCTCCGGAGGCATGGCACCGCAGCACAGCGCGGCCAGGCTCAGCACTACTAGCGACATCGCGGGGCCACCGCCCGCCACCGCTCGTGGTCCCTGCCAGCCTTCGGCCGCGCTCTTATCCCGGCGGCCGGGGCCACACCTCCGGGCTCCGCCTCCCCC